CAAAAAGTGGGTGAAGGATATGAACAGACACTTCTCAAAAGAAGACATTTATGCAGCCAACAAACATGAAAAAAAACTCCTCGTCACTGGTCATTAAAGAAATGCAAATAAAAACTACAATGAGATAGCATCTCATGCCAGTTAGAATGGTGATCATTAAAAAGCCAGGAAACAACAGATGCTGGAGAGGATGTGGAGAAATAGGAAGGCTTTTATACTGTTGGTGGGAGTATAAATTAGTTCAACCGTTTTGGAAGACAGTGTGGCGATTCTTCAAGGATCTAGAACCAGAAATACCATTTGACCTAGCAATCCCATTACTGGATATATACCCAAAGGATTGTAAATCATTCTACTGTAAAGACACATGCACACCTATGTTTTTTTGCAGCACTATTCACAATAACAATGACTTGGAACCAACCCAAGTGGAAAAACAAATAACGCCTACAGAGCTTCCAGACCCTGAGAGTACAACAGGATTATAACTGAGTGAAATAATGCATCATGATAACCCAAGGACACAAAAAATTTGATTTACATTTGGTGTTCTGTATTTAAGAAAATGAAGGAGAGGCAGCATGGCCGAGTGGTCTAAGAGTCTGAATTAAGTCTCTAGTGTCTTTGGGGGCATGGTTTTCAATTCCACCACTACCAATTTGTCATTGGGCGTGGTGGCTGATGCCTGTAATCCCAGCACTTTGGGAGGCCAAGGTGTATCACGAGGTCAAGAGATCGAGACCATCATGGCCAACATGGTGAAACCCCCGTCTCTACTAAAAATACAAAAATTAGCTGGGCGTGGTGGCACGTGCTTGTGATCTCAGCTACTCAGGAGGCTGAGGCAAGAGAATCACTTGGACCCAGGAGGTGGAGGTTGCAGTGAGCTGAGATCGCACCACTGCACTCTATCCTGGTGACAGAGTGAGACTCCGTCTCAAAAAAAAAAAGAAACTGGAAAAGTGTATGATGCAATTCAAAATGATTCCTTAAAAAAATTTAGAATTTAAAAGAATGTGTTTGTGCTTAATTCCCAGTTACCTAATTATCTAAAAGGATTCATTATCTGAGGGTGGTAGAAAGCACCGTTTTGTACAATATTTACAAATGTTTTATTTTGCATAATCTTTTACAATAAACTGTAAAATATTTGGACATTAAAATTAAAAATGTAAATGATAAATTTATTAGTGCTGAGTCTTTAGAAGTTTCTACCACACATATTATCATATTTAATCTCATAAAATCCTGTGAGATATACATTATTATGCTCAATTTAAATATGAGAAAATAGAATCTCAGGGTGATTAAATCCATATTGCTTTCTTATTGTTATAAACCAATAATAAACCACCACAAATTCAGTGGCTTAAAAAAACCCCAGCTTACTATCTTACAGTTTTGTACATTGGAACTCTCACTGGACTAAAACCAAGTTTCATATTCAGACAATATTCTAAAATTAGATCATGGTTATGGTTGCACAACTCTGTGAATATACAAAAACCACTTTAAGTAAATGCTATTGTATATTAATTATATTGTAATAAAATTGTTAGGAAATCGAGTAGTATAATAGTGGAATCAGTAATTTTCCAGCATCTGATTTGTGAAAAGCATGATGTTAGTTATGAAATACTGCTGAACACATTGCCTTGTCTGCCAGAGCATTTACATTCTCCTGGAAACTATTCCTTCACAACCATGACATAAAAGTTGTACAGGTCAACTCCTCCTAACCACAGGCTGAACACTGCAGCTGAGCCATTAAAGGGTCTAGTCCATAGTCCTCCATCCACAGATGACAGTGTCATCCAAGATGGATCGATCAGTCTTCTGCCCAAAGATTTTTTTGATTGGGGTTGGAGAGTTGTGTCTCTGGGTGAAGAGCTTACAAAGAATGAAAAAAGAAAAAATCAGCCTGCAATTATCAGTGGCCATTTTTTTCTTCTGGTTATTTTCCCCTCCCAGTGAACTGCAGCCAGAAAGAATTAAAACCAATGAAAGAAAAGACAATAGATAGAATAGGGAAGTCTTGATGTCTTCCACATTCTAGCTTCCAATTCTACTGGGCCATGTTCACTCTGTCCTTTCTGTTGCTCTGATATTATTCAAATTGATTGGAGTTGGGTCTCAAGATTGCAACAAAAGTTCTGTCCTCAACTATCTTAGTTAGAGATTACTTGGGAAGAAAAACTATAAAGGTTTGAAAAAATAAATAGAAATCTAAACCTGAAAGTAAAATGGGAAAAAAAGGGAGTCTGCAATGAAAGTGCAATGTGAAAACAAGAGTATGCAATTAATTTCTAAGTGAGCGATTTAGATAAAGAGTTTTGTGAATTTAGAGGAGACAACACTGTAGCTTGGGTAATCTGGAAAGATTTCCTAGAGGAAAAGGGTCCAGACTAGAGTTAGACCTTGAAAGCTAGATTCTTTTGATTTTTTCTTAGGGTCATCTATGCTAGCTCACTTAAATGAACTTCATTTGGAGAGAGATTTTAAAGGGATCCTTCGGAGGCAGACGAAACATGTCTTGAACAGGAAAGGGGAGAAGAAGCAAATTTCATCTGTGATTAGAGCAAAGATATTTTGTTCAGATGTTAGTATTAATGGGCATATGATCAACTTTTATAATAGCAATAACATCCTTTTTGTCCTAGGGTATGCACTGTATTAAAAATGATAAATTATGGCTCTCAGTAAAATCAGTGAAACTATTAAAATGATGAAAGATTAACGGAATTTTGTCAGAATCAAATAAGGATTGGATTCTGGTCAGTGTTGTGGAAGCAGTCTAGTATTTTGTTTGTTTGTTTGTTTAAATTATCAGCCCAAGTTCCAGTAATTCTTAAGAATCTATGCAATTTTCAGTTATACTTGTGTGGCTTTGATGTCTCTCTTTATTTTGAACACTGATCTTGATTCATGAAAGTCTGTTGCATAACATGAAAAGAATGGACAAAATGCCTCTACAAGTTGCCTAGTGTTCCATAATTTATTTATGTCTTTTGAATTTCTTTTTAAATACATATCCCTGAGGTAATACTTTTTGTAAACTGTGAAATCTCATGGGTGACATAAAAATCGAGTTTCTAACACTGGGAATTATCTTCACTGGGCTTCCCCAAGGAAATACTACCAAAAATATATTTCCTTTGGTTTCTTCTGAATGATTAACATGTAATTCTCAGCAAATTAGTAGAATTGCAGATTGTTAGAGTGGCAAGAAATCTCTATGACTTTGTTTAATGGAATAAACATCTTTTACGTTTTAACACTGAGATCCTGAGAAACTGTTAGACTTCCCACATCAGGGACTGAGCAGCACCTAAAACAAAAATGTCCCAGCTTTTTAGATGACACCATATTCTTTTCTCTTAAAAATATTAAAATAGTGCCTAATTCAAAGTATTTCAGATTTTTTTATGTTAGTTTCATTTTAGCCAGTACAAGTATCTATAATTTGTCATAAATTAGAAGTTTCTCTTATTTTCGTTCTTTACTTTGGTATCCTCTAAAATGTTCACATGCAGGGAGAATAATGGTAGAGTTTTATAATATGTGGTTTGTAAAAACTTGGATGAAAACCTTTTAAAAGCTACAGTAAAATTCAGAAGTGAAAGGAAATTACTTAAAAGGCATGGAATCTGAACGCTTCAACACAAAATGTAAAATTTTTAGATCATACAAAATGTAAAAATTTTAGATGGATAAGGTCAATAGTTAAATAAATAATAAATTAGGAGACTTTTTATAATAATACCTCATGTGATCAGACCAGATAGGAGTTACAGCTCTGACAAGATGTTGATTCTTTTGGAATTCCTTTCATCTGGAAGGTGGCTAGGATCTCCAGGCTACTGTAGCCCAGTCAATAGCAGCCTCATAGTCCATTTACCCATGGTAAGGTACAAACAGACATTTGCAGCTAAGTCAGTTTACCCCATGATGATATAGAAATATAATTCTCTGGTTGTCATGAGGTAAAAAGCATTGGAAACACTTATCTATGACAAAAAGAGATCTTATGAACTAAAACAACAATGTTAAAAGCCCAATAGGAAAAGTATATGAACAACAATTTACAAAATTGCTATCGAAGTTGCCAATATAAAATGTCTCCAGGTTTTGTTAGTAACTGTGGAGATGTAAATTGAAGTAAAATCTATATATCTCTTTATACTCATAAGACTGGCAAAAATTTAAAAGTATGGTAAAATCTGTTGCTGGTAGGGATGCTAACAGAATAATATTTTCTTTTACTGCTAGTGGTTAGGTGAAAAATTTCTGCCGTTTTGGAAAAGTGATCTGTACATATCTTTTGACAGAACAATTTTATAATCTTGGAAATACATTCCTTTAAATATGATCACCCGCCCTGATTTGCTTACACACATACACACCCAAGAATATTTATTGCATTATGATGTATTTTTTTTTCTTTTCATAGCAGCAAAACTCGGGAACTAAAATAAACAGATAAACAAATATTAATAGGGAAATGCTTACTTCAGTTTAAAATAATGTGAAACATTTTAGTTAGGAGGAGTAAGTTCAGGGATCTATTTTACAACATGGTGACTAGAGTTAATACAATGTATTCTTGAAAAATTCTAAGAAAGTGGATGTAAAGTGTTTTTGGCACAAAAATGAATAACTATGTGAGATAATGCACATGTTAACAATCAGATAAATTTACTCATTTCACAATGTACACATACTCCAAAACATCATGTTGTACACAGTATCATTTTATCTGTCAATTTAAAAACAGACCTTTTTAAAAGATATCTATGAAAAGACTCTTAGAATGAGAAATGAGAGCTTTTATTAAAATGCCAGCAATAAATCTAACAATATTCCTTTTCTTATATTTATAGGAATAACTTCCAGATGTAATATTCAATTTGGAATTATAGCATTTTCATCTAGATAATTATTTTTTGGAAGATAGCATAACTCACCTTCTTTTCATATAATATGTTTTTATCATTGTTCAGGTCACCTGGCCGAAGCTGGTACGATGATGGATTTGCAGCTGCTGTTAGAGATGCCACTCAAGGCAGAGGTAGGGGAAAATCTTCCTGATTTTCCTTTCTTTCTACTCTCTTATTTCCTCCTAACTTATTTAATATGCTAACCCCAGCCAGAAATGCTGGCCGTAGGAATCTTTCCCTGTAATACAGAATGGTCCAGGGTAAGGCAAACAGTAGATCTGAGAGAAAATTGGACAAGGACTGGCACACCTTCCCTTTGTGTGAGCAGATAATTTGACAGTTTTCTTCATCCTTTCTTCCTGTGATCTCCAAGATTTATTTAGAAGATTTTGGAGTAAGATTTTGCAAGAGTCTCTTCTCTTTATAGAATTTTTTTTGGGACATTTTGTTTTGTAACTTTTCTAAGAACAATCTTATACCTAATTTTAAGTTTCGCTAATTTTATTACTCACTATTTTCATACTTCTTCTTTGCTATTTTTATTAGAGTTCTTAATTTTTTCTTTTGCTCTTATTCACATATTATCATTTAGGTAGGTGACACATTCTTAAGACCTTACTCTATTGTTTCTTAACATTGCGTCTTTTGTGTAAGGAAGATAATTGTAACGACAAATAGATAATGACAAATAGATTAATCTCCTGTGAAAGGGAGAGATTCTAATGACAGATAAATGACAAATGATAACCCACATAGTTATCTTTCATTTTTGTGCCAAAAACACTTTACATCCACTTTCTTAGAATGCAAGAATACATTATATTAACTCTAGTCACCATGTTGTACAATAGATCTCTGAACTTCTAATTAAAATGTTTCAAGTTATTTTAAACTGAAGTAAGCATTTCTCTATTATTTGTCATTTTAAAGGCTACTTTTTCTTTCTGCATGGAAATGTATAGATTTCACTTTAAATGGTGGCTTTGAAATTAACAACAAACAAAATGAAAATCTTAGCCTAGTACTTGAAAAAAAATTTTTTTTTGATCTGATGCTTTAATTCTGTTTTCAGTGTAGGGATTTTTTTCCTGTTTGATCATTGATTCTTCTTAATCTTACCTTTTTATATTTATATTAAATATTCTTTTAATTTACATGTATTTAATCCCAGATGAATTAATTTAATCTGGATTTGTATTTCTAACAGAAATTCCCTGAAATTTCTGGCATATATATGGTCTCATTTTGCTTGTTTCCAGGATTTATGTAGAGGTTTTCTAGATATTTTTGTGTTTGCCATTTTGGTGGGAACTTAGAAGAGGACAGAGTTAAACATCTGCACCCAAATCACCATTCAAAATAAGAAATATCTCAATGAAATTTAAACATTATAAAACTTACCATTCCTTTCAAATATTACCAAAGTATGTGGCTACTTTGAACAAATGAAGAAATATTCTCTCCCTTAGGTGTTTCCAAGTGATAGAAGATGGAAAAAGATCTTCCTTTAGAAATAGGAAAGTGAGGATTCTAATTCATCTCCTGGGCTCTTTGGTGGTCACAGGTTTTTCAGGCTGTGTTACTGGTGTGAACCGTCCTAACCCATCTGGTCATCTTGATTGCAGTGTCTCATTGGTGTGCTGTGATGTAAAGCTGAGAGAGAATGTGGCACAGCGGAATAGCTTTAAAAACTAACAGAGTCCTGTGTTTTTAAGCAAGCACTACAATTTTCTTATCTGTGAAACAAACCTAATCCTACTTTGTGCATTATTAATTGGCTTGCATAGTTTTATTGAGTGATTAAATGTGTTGTAGAGCATGTATTAGGATCCTAGCGGCATAAAGATGAATATTATCCGGTCTCTGCTTTCAAGAATTATATAGCTAAAAGGACTGTGAGGATTGTGTGAGAACTCATTAGCTTATATAGTAAATATTTGTAAAGAACATAGTTGTTATTAGGAACTCTCCTAGGCATTGAGATATTAGGATGAATAAAAAAATCTTATTAGCCTATTGTGATTACATTTTATTAGAGGACGAAGGGAGATGATTAAAAATTAAATATCTAATATAATGTCAGATGTTGAAAAGTTCTGTGAAAAGAAATACAGCAAGAGTGGGGAGTATATGTGTGTGAAGAAGAGAAGAGAGAACTATTTTAAATGGGGTCGTCTGGATAGCCCTTCTGAGGAATGTCTGGGAAAAGGGCATTGCTGGAAGAAGAATACATTTAGACTGTTTGAGAAACAGCAAGGTGAGAATGGCTACACTTTGGTTATTTAAGGGAAAAATGGCAAAAATAAGAATTGAGAAGTATTTCTGGGTTTTTTTGACCATGACAAAGAATTGAAATGTTATTCTAAGTGCAATAAAGGGAAACCATTGGAGGGATTTGCACAGAGAAGGAGATGATTTGATTTGTGCTTTGCAAAGATTAGTCTGGGTGTTTAGTGGGGAATAGCTGTAGGAGAGACAAGGTGGAAGTGGGAGAGGAGGAGGTAGAGTGGGAGTGATGGGAGGCTAATATAGGAGAACAAGTGAAAAAGCTGTGCTTTGACTTTGGAGCAGTGTTTTGGAGTGAATGAGTCTTCATCAGATAATATGATACTTGGTATAGATAAGCTTTTAGTAAATAATTCTATGGTTATTATCACACCTATATTGAGCACCTACAAAGAAACTAAGTGTTCAGCCTTTAAGCAAAATGGATGAAAAAATACAAGCAATTTTCTCCTAAACCCTTCAAGAAAAAATAGTAGGTAATAAAAATGGAATGTAAGAGTCTTCATTAAAAGATCATAGAGAAAATTCTGTAAATTGGTAAGAAAAATAAATCTAATCGAATGGATAAATGAAGAAAAGGAACTAAGAGCAAGAATATATGGTTAACAAATATGTGAAAATACACTCAGCTTTATTGTTCAATTAGGGAAGTGAAAAACAAAACTGTAGGGAGATAATAGGTCACACCTACCTGTTTGGCAGGAATTAAAAAATATAACACTAACAGATATTGGCAAGGATATGGAGAAATCAAAACATTTATACACATTACTGGTGGCAGTCTATATTGATATAATGCAATATATGGAAAATAACATGGCATTATATAATAAATTTGAGATTGCTGTTTTTTCATGACCAGGCAATTCTACTCATAGCTATATACTCCAGGGCAGTTGTTCTTAGAGTTAGTTCCCAGATCTGCAGCATCAGCATCACTTAGGAACTTGCTAGACATATAAAATCTTGGGACCCATCACAGCCATACAAAATTAGAAACACTAAGATTAAGGCTCAACAATCGTGTTTAAATAAGCCCTTCAGGTGATCCTGATACAGCTAAAATGTGTGAACCACTGCACTAGAGAAAGATTTGCACATGTGTACTAGAAGACATGTGCAAACTGTTTGCAGCATCTTTATTTACAGTAGCAAAGTACTCAAAACAAGCAATCTATTATTAATAGAAGGTATAAAGGAATGTATATTCACACAGTAGAATGCTGTACAACAGTGAAATGAACTATAGCTAAACACAACATGCATCAATCTCAGAAATATAATAGTCAAAAAACAAGACAGAAGATTTGGAAGCGAAAACATAATAAACATATTCATAAAAAGTAAAGAATATCTTATTGAAAGAAATAAATATGTATAGCATATTTGGTAAAATTATATGAAAGAAGGAAATATTAAACTCAAAATTCAGGGAAGTGGTTACTTATGATGGAGCAGAAAATGTGTAGTATCAGGGAGCAGTCTTCCCAATGGTGACAAAGTTTCATTTCCTAAACTGGGTAAGAAAATAGGTAGTTATTGTAGTATTGTGCTTTATGCCCTACATATAGTATTTAACTTTTTATTTGGTCAGTTGGTAATGATAATAAAAACAATATGATTAATAAAAATAAAGCAAATGAATGCACACACAAAAAGAATGGAGAAAAAAAGAGTGGACCCCTTTCTCTGTTGTATCCACAGTGTCAGGAAGCATATAAAATAAGTTAAATAAAAAAACCATCACATGTACCTATATTTTTTCTCTTTTTCATATCACTTTTCCTTTCTCACCATACAGAGATTCACGCATGAGAATTAATACTTATTTTAAGTGCAAAGGCAAACTAATTTTTAAAAATGTATCTGACAGCAAAATGCACAAATAATTAAGAAAAATAAGCCTAGAAATACAGAAAATAAATCTTAAAATTTCTAAAAGTTCAAGTATTCTGATTCAATTAAAAATGGTAAGCTTTAGTGAGTAAAAGAAAATTACATCAGCATGTTCCCTGAGTTTTAATGAGGCAAGAAAGAGCTGTAATCTCTGCAAGAAGGGCAAGTGACAGAGGGTATTACGAGAACAACATGCTCTGTACTTGGATAATACTATAGAAATATTGCCTTCTTGTCATAGACTCTGAATTGCTGTTTATACAGGAAATAGGATTAAAATGCATGCTGGTCATCTACACTACACAGGTAAACTCATTTCAATTCAAGATGACTATTACACTAAAATATTACTTTGTATATAAGCAGAGGAAATTTCTTTTTTTCCATAATTACATTTAGGCACTTAAACATGGCAAATTTCAATTATAAAAGGAAGAGTTTAACCATTTCTATCTCATTTGGAAATATGCTATTATTTTAGTAGTATTTTATTTTGACAACTAAACAAATGGAGACAGTTGTGTGTGCACTAAATGGAGACAAACAAATTCTGTATATAATATTTCAAAGAGTACTTTTTGAGACATGAGTTATTGTGCTAACCATATAACGTGCTGTTTTAACACAGAATAAGATAGTTATCTTCCCCACAGGATGCCAGTTAGGGACAATAGAAACTTTACATTGCTTTGAATTATATGTTGAAAAATGTGTGTGTGTGTGTGTGTGTGTTTTAAATAGGTAGGTATAATCCAAATGAATAAAAAATGTTATAAATAAGCGTGTAAATAATGATGTTTCAATTTCAACACTGCTGGGTAGAATACTTGCTCCTGATAAAATTTCTGTTGGCTTTTGCCATTGGAAACCCAGATCATGACTGTTTTCCTTTAAATAGTTTAAGTTTTTAAAAAGTTTACTTGAAAGATTGAAATGCAATAGGAGTTTA